TTTAGAGACAATTGTTCTCATTTTATTCGTGTACTTAAAATGTTTTTTGTAATGTCTCTACTAGACGATTATTCTGGATTAAACCAAAGGCATGTAAATATACAGAACACCATTGAAGGTACCATCTTTTAATCAACAACACATCCGGTCTTATACATATTATATTACAGATAAGCCTTTAGATGCACAGCATCATATCAATGTAAAGCTAGATAACTCTAGATACTTATAGAACGATACTACAATCCCTTCCTTTTTTCTATTTTTTTTATATTAAAGTGAATTAATCTTTTTAAACTAAACTAAACTGAAATAAGATTCTATTAGCTATTAATCAAATTAAAAAATTCTAAATACTTAAAAAAATCTAAATACTTATGATCCCTGTAAAACTTTACTTATTAATTTACTTATAAAAAAATTATAAATCAAAATGTATATTTGTTTCTTTCAAATACTAATGTCCAATAAAATCAAATTGAAAATTCTTTACAAGTCTATTTTAATCAGTTCATAATGTAATCTTTCAGTCTTGCTGGTAATTGGCGATTTCTCTTCGGTCGCACGCGGCTAATTGCGGTTTCTACATCATCAATCTTGTTATCGTTATCAGCATGACATACATCTGGTGTTTCCTCGGACACTATTTCGTTTGAGATAATTACATTTTCACATTGATTTTGATTACTTGTATTGACATTCTCACTTAGATTATTATCTAACATATTTTCGTTTGGCATATTTTGTTGCTCAAATTTTTTCACATGTGTGACATTGCGGCGGTATTTAACTCCTTGATCTGATTGAACTAATACACTATTACCAATTTTCTCTAATAAAAGTAACGGCTTATGATGAAATGTAGTGGATAATTTATTTTCTTTGTTCTGTTTAACGAGAACTTTATCTCCCGGTTGTAACTCACTTTTAACTGCTTTTCGCTTTTCATCAGCGTACATTTTCCCCTTTTCCTTTCGTTCACGGTCCTTATCTCTGACTTCTATATCTTCTTTAGAATGTCCAAGTTCGGGTAGTTTTGTTTTTATTTGACGCCCAAATAATAATTCGGCTGGACTGGCTCCAGTTGTTGAATGTGTCGTTGCACGATACATAAACAAATACTTCTGAAGTTCTTCTTTCCAGTTCTTATTTTCCGCGTGTGCAATCTGAAGTCGTTTCAGAAAAGATCTATTTTGTCGCTCGATTTCCCCATTGGCTTGCGGCCATAACGGTGTAATTCGACGGTGTGTTATGCCATTCTGTTCACAATACTGTTTAAAATATTGGCTAATAAATTGTGGTCCATTGTCAGTCTTAATGGATATTGGCAATCCGTGAGTTATAAACATTTTATCCAATGCTTCAACAGTTTTCTCGGCATTTGTTGACTTCATAACAGCAATTTCTGTCCACCGTGAATAATAATCCACAACGCAAAACAATAAATCTCCTGATGGAAGTGGTCCAAGAAAATCTGCTGCTAAGTGTTCCCACGGTCGCGACGGTAACGCAGACCTTTGCATAGGTTCAGGCCTTTCTGGTTTAGATACTAATTGACATCCATAACATTGTCTACACCACTGTTCAATGTCACGGTCTATGTTAGGCCACCATACTTTTGTTCTGAGTCTCTGTTTCATAATTACAATGCCGGGATGACCTTCATGAGCAAGTTGTAAGATTCGTTCGCGAAGTTTGCTGGGTACAACAATTCTTGTTCCTCGGATTATCAAATTTCCTAAAGCACAAAGCTCCGATTTAACTGTCAAATACTGTTTGTATTTTAACTCATACCATCGACCAGTTCGTAAACATGTCCTTATTTCGTTAAATTCGTCGTCATTTTCGGAACTCTCTTCGATTTCGCGAATGTTCATAGCTACGGGAGTGGCTTCGTCCACTATCATACGTAAATATTCCTCCGTTTTATTGTATTCGGGTTTACCCCCAAGGGTGACTGGGGAATAGAAGTATGGTCACCATTGGTCTTCCTCCGACCGGCAGTAAAACCCGTGCTAAAGTGGGGCGTCCGTTTGGCTGTGCGGGATGTACAAATTTGCAGCCACGTCCGTTCAGAATGGGGACGTTAAATCCGATGCCTCGTGTAAAGAGAGTGCCACGCTCTTTGCACGTTAAGAACCCTTGCAACAACTCATTGAGGGGTCCGTATGTGACCTGTTGCAAGGCTAAATTTCTGTCCCTATCCAATATACCCTCATTTTCCGTGGCAGTCTAAATTTCTCCGACCTTAATCCCTTAATCTTTTACAGAACCTACCTATTGTATTTATTGTGAACTTGTTCTCGTCCTGAATATGCATGAAATATTTGCCACTGGACGTTAAGCAACCAACAATCAATCAATCAATGTATTCGGGTTTCTGCTCGTTTGTAGATAATAAACGAGACAGCGAATCTGCAATGTTTTTCGCTCCTGGTATATGTTTAACAACATAATGATATGTTTGCATACGTAAAACCCAACGTTCCACTCTAGCACAAGGCTTCGATTTCGGCGAAAAAATGAATTCGAGCGGCTTGTGGTCAGTTAATAGCTGAAATTCTTTCCCAAATAGATATACGTGAAAACGTTCACAAGCCCACACTAAACCAAGAGCCTCCTTCTCCGTTTGCGAATATTTCCTTTCAATTTCGGACAGCGAACGGCTCGCGTAGCATATAATCTTATGAGAATCTCCTTGTTTCTGAACTAATACGGCGCCTAACCCTACTGGACTTGCATCAGCTATAACTTGCGTATCTGCATTTATGTCGAAGTATGCCAAATTCGTATTGTTCGCTAAACACTGTTTTAGATTTTCAAATGCATCATCCTGTTCCGGTCCCCAATTAAATGGCTTATTTTTCTTCATAAGACGGTTTAGCGGCTCAGCTATAGTGGCTAAGTTTGGAATAAATCTCCCGGTAAAATTTACAAGTCCCATAAAACTTTTTACTTCCGTAACTGTTTTTGGTTTTCTGGCTTCCTTAACTGCCTGTACTTTACTTTCAGAAACACCAATTCCGTGTTCCGAAAGAATGTGTCCCATGAATTCTATACGTTCCATGTTAAACTGACACTTTTCGATGTTTAAAGTTAGTCCTTTTTCTTCCAAACGGCACAATAACTGCTCCAAATTATGATCATGTTCTTCGTCGGATTTTCCATGTACAATTATGTCATCGTAAATGCTATTTACACCTGATAATCCACCTAAAGCCTGATGAATAATCTTGTTATACATTTCTGGTGCACAACTGATGCCGAACATCAAACGTTTATACCTGAATAGACCTTGGTGTGTCATAAACGCTGTAATGTCCCTTGAATCTTGTGACAGCTCGATTTGATGAAATGCCCACTTAATATCCAATTTACTGTACACTTTGCTTTGATTGAGATCTTGTAATATTTCCTCAACGGTAGGTATTGGATACCTTTCACGGACTACGGCCTCGTTTGCTCTGCGCATATCGATACATAGGCGTATTTCGGAGTTTTTCTTGGGTATAACTACGACAGGCGACACCCATGTACTCGGTCCATCAACTTTCTCAATAATGTCGAATCTTTGTAATTCTTCAAGCTTTTGATCAAGTTTCTCCCTTAGATGAAACGGTACTCTACGAATCGGCTGAATAACTGGTTTCACGGATTCATCAATCGGTATTTTCAGTTGAAATTTCTTTAACTTTCCGATGCCTTCAAAACATTTCGGAAACTTCTGCTGTATGATTGCTTTCCTATCGGAATTAACTGAATTAACACTTTCCGGCGGACTCTGAATTTTTAATATTCCCAAAGATATTGCAGTTGTTTTACCTAACAACGCTTGACCTTTTTCTTCAACTACAAAGAATTCTGCATCAACATTTTTATCTCCAACAGATACACTAGTGATAAAACTTCCTGCAACATTTAACGGTTGTGTATTCCCATAGGCATAAATCTTCTTATCACTTAATCTTGACTCACACTTAATATTAGACTTCTTCAAAAATTCCCACATGTGCCTGTCAATAACATTGACCGACGCTCCTGAATCTATAATTATTGGCATTATAACTCCTCACACTTTTATCTTGAAATCTGTATCATTGGCAGTTCCGCTGTTTACTGTAAATACATACGGATCTTGATAGTCACTCTCTGTTTCTACATTTCTTACAGTTTCACGTCTCGGGTTGAAATTTCTGTTCTGTTTTGTTTTGCAACACTTTTCGAAATGTCCCTCTTTCTTACATTTTCTACATTTCTTTCCCCTCGCTGGACATTTTGCGTCTGTTTTAATGTGTCCCTCGTGACCGCATGAAAAACAACGTCTTTGTTTGAAATCTACTTGGCTTTGTGTCTTAAATTTCGAATGTTTATCAAATCTATCATGTCTATGTTGACTTACTTTGTTTATTTGTTCCTTTTGTTCCATTGAGACGGCTCTCTGTTCGGACGCTTCTAATGATTGAGCAATTTCCCTTAGTTGCGCTAAAGTCACATTGTTACGCTCCAACAATTTTCTTCTTAAACGTTGAGAATAACCTTTTTCTATAACTTGATCCCGAATGTTTTCGTCAATGTTATGAAAGTCACAAAACACAGCTTTCTGTCTCAAACGTGTTATATATTGTTCTACTGTTTCACTTGAAGTTTGCATCATTGCTCGGAATTGTGAACGTTCAAATGCTGAATTTACTTGCGGTGTAAAATGCGCGTCTAATGCTGTGACTGTTGCATCATAAACAGTTTCTCCCTCTCCTGGATCAGCAATAACAAGAGTAAAATAAATATCTTGCACAGAAATTCCGGCAGTATGTAAAAGTAAGGCTTTCTTTTGTTCCGCCTCGACCACACCTTTTCCAACAGCAAAAAGTTCAAAACCACGCTTCCATCTGTTCCATCTTGGTCCAATTGAATTTATTTCCCCATTTGCATCAAATTTTGGAATCCCTCCAACATCTGTCAATACCGGCCTAGCTTCTGCCATATCCTCGTTGCCAGTTGTAATGTCTCTACTAGACGATTATTCTGGATTAAACCAAAGGCATGTAATTATACAGAACACCATTGAAGGTACCATCTTTTAATCAACAACACATCCGGTCTTATACATATTATATTACAGATAAGCCTTTAGATGCACAGCATCATATCAATGTAAAGCTAGATAACTCTAGATACTTATAGAACGATACTACATTTTTTTTTTCTTCATTTCTGCTGCTTTCATTGCAGTCCTGTAACAAAGAACTTAAAATCAAAAAAAATGTTTTTAATGTAATCTGTACAGTACATGTAGCAATTTCAAAACTATATAATATTTGTGTTATCTTATGTATATTATATACATTACACTCAACGAACGGAATTGGTAAAATTATATTTCTTTTGATGCAGTAAAATTAGAACCATTGTAACTACCACCAAGTTCTCTAACCTTTAATAACGACATAAATTCAGTATAAAAGGATTCGAATTTTTAAGATAATGATTGCCTCTCCTTTTTAAATTATCTGGGATGTAATATATATGAGATAAGAAAAATATTAAATAATTTTGAAATTGTTACTGTTCAGATCACATTATAAATATTTTTTGATCATAAGCTCTTTGTTCGCGGGCTGTAATGAAAGCAGCAGGAATGAACAATTGGATTTCTGATGTACACTTAACAAATTAAACTGCAGGCAACAGTAAATTATTCAATTCAAAATCAGCATAAGTCAGAATTCGATGAAATCGTTTTTATCGTATCTCCTTATATAGACACTTTAGTATCAATTTGAGCTTTCCTTGACTGTCTGAATGAATTGTTAAGCTAACAGTTGAAGTCAACGTAATTCTGTTCAATATCCGTAGTGTTGTGTCGGTTATGAAAAGCAGAGGAAGAAGAGATATAAACTTTAACGTTATTCTATGCTCGCATTCTCTTCAAGTAGGATACGATTCCGTCTCTCTACACATGACATATCTATTAAGTTTATCACATCTGACACATTTGATCGTACTCAAATGTATATTTGTCAGGTTAATATAACTACATCTATGAACGACTTTTTGTGATGAGCAATATTAAATTAAATTGTATTGAGTTCAAGATTATGTAGTCCGGTTAAGTGTTCATTCATATGTATATCTGATTGATTGATTGATTGACCAACAATGGCATAATTTGGTATCTAAGCTGATTCCTATCCTGATTTGACAGTTTCGAGGATTTGACCTCCATTACAAGTAGTTCCGTCACTCACATTATCTTATCCATTGCGACTACAATGATGTCAGGATGGAAGTAGCGGCTATATACATCAGTCGAAACACATACGGGGCAAGGCTTACTTGAGGTTGGTTTGTTGTCGTCACCATCTTCGGAAGAATGAATGATGTACCCTCAATCATGGGGGTACAATGAACATTAAACAAGAACATTAAAGTTAGGTCCGTTCCTTTAAATTAAAACAAAAATAAATTTCGGTTGTTGTCCCCTCTAGGGAATATTTAAGGCTTATTTAACACATTTAAGCGTTTTAACACAACACTTTCTTATATAGTACCTCTTGATCTATTTTTATTTGATTTTAAAAGGATTGAGCAACAGGCACAGCTTTTAAAAGTTCTCTTCATATTTCATGTACAAGTTATCAAATTAGTTCTTAACTACTATATTTCAAAAACTATAATATTACGTAATACATGCACAAACCTGAAGAGCATAACTGTCGTAATGAATTCTATCTTGTTTCTTTGAATCGTAAATTAGATTTTATGACATTATTTCTGTAATATGTGAACACAAAACCGTTTTGGCGTCCAGTTTCAAATCACATCTCTTATGCTTTTCTTGTTATTTAGCATTGGTAGAAACCCACATACAAAATACGAAACGTTTGGACGTTACTAACAGAAATGAACATTTAGCAGCAATCAAGGACGGAACAGAAATAAGACGTTACGTAAGAATTCAGGTTATTGGTAAAGATGGAGTTGGCAAGTCAAGCCTTGTACGCAGATTAGTTGGAGATGATGATACAAAACTAAGAAGCACAGATGGAATCGATATTGTTAAAAAATGCCAAATAAGAACAACTGATGGTAAATGGGTTATTGGTGAAGGTGAGTTACAATTTTTACTCCCGATTAATAAAATCGATTGACAAAATGACAATGGTCTGCATCTACATTTCATTTTGCCCATAGCATTTTGTAAGTTATAAAGAGTTAGTGGATCTATTTTGTCCAGTAATCTTACTGAAAGTGATAAAAAAAAACAACAAGAAAACGCACCATATTACTCAACGTAGACAATATTTGGATTAGATAGTTGAATAAATGTCCTATTTTTGTGACAATGAATTATATATTTATATATTAGTGTTATATGTGAGTTTTTGCCAATTTGATATAAAGTCATACAATTTAATATCAGGTTTTAGTATGCTTAGATACGACTTTCAAAATATTTTAAACGTAGACTTGTTTTTATATCTTATAAGCAGTTATACATAATATTTTCTTACATATCATGTTGAACTGGCAATTTTTTTTTACTCGCAATTGCTGTCGGATTTAAGTCTGAAACCGTAATGTTGGTCTCACTCAGTCGTAATTGACTGATTTTTTGCAACAGAAGTACCTTGAGACTCGTTTCTGTTTCCGGTCGCCGTTCAGATCAATAATCACTGCAGACATTTACAACCTGTGTAGACATGCAATGGTAAACAAGACGGATTGTTTTTCTATTCGATTCGGACTTGATCTGGCACTGGCGGTTAAAATCATTCAAAGGATAAAAGTAACGTTAAGATTTGTCAGATCGTCTTCGGTTGTGTTCAGTATGACCGTACCATACTAGGATTTACAACACTAAGGTTTTAAAGAAATTTTTTATTAATAAAAACATATAGCACTCCAAAACGTGTGCCTAATCCCAAACATGTCCTCAATGCCGAAACGTATTAAATTCATTCAAACGGGGTTTTAAATCACAAATCGCCCAAAGGTGTCAAAAGTCACTCCCCTTACATATTTCCGTTTATTTTCTCCACTCAATGTGAATTTCTATTTCTAATCGTCGTAGCGTGTACATTGATTGATTGATTGTTGGTTGCTTAACGTCCAGTGGCAAATATTTCATGCATATTCAGGACGAGAACAAGTTCACAATAAATACAATAGGTAGGTTCTGTAATAGATTAAGGGATTAAGGTCGGAGAAATTTAGACTGCCACGGGAAATGAGGGTATATTGGACAGGGACAGAAATTTAGCCTTGCAACAGGTCACCTACGGACCCCTCAAAGAGTTGTTGCGAGGGTTCTTAACGTGCAAAGAGCGTGGTACTCTCTTTACACGAGGCATCGGATTTAACGTCCCCATTCTGACCGGACGTGGCTGCAAATTTGTACATCCCGCACAGCCAAACGGACGCCCCACTTTAGCACGGGTTTTACTGCCGGTCGGAGGAAGACCAATGGTGACCATACTTCTATTCCCCAGTCACCCTTGGGGTTCGTAGCGTGTACACGTTGTGACTCCAGAACACGTCTTAAACTTTTAGAACTTATATGTTATACGTAACGTTAATAATGTAAGGGTATCGATTGAAACTATCGGGTTGTTTCTGCAGTCCAAAATCAAAACTGCTTTTTATCAGGACACTGTAAATAACAACTGAGTTTCATGAATACAATTCAAGGTGAAGACCTCGTCATACTGTGGATATTATCAGAAAAATCACAGAAAGAATAAAAAATACATACATTTGTATGCTTTTATTAGTAAACTGAACGCAGTGAAAATCTTGATGTCAATTACAGAAAATGTTTGACAACAGAGTAAATAATAGCCCATATTATAAAAACCTTCATTTGATATGGACTGTTTTGCTCTCGAATATGCATGGAATATGTTGTATTGTGCACCTTAAGACCATAAGGTCGCTGTCATAGTTTCGACTTGATTTGTTTCGATAAATAATTTGTGATAGCGAATCACATTTTCATAAGGGTGGACACGTTTGGGCGTACAGTCACGTCATATGAACACCTTTTTTAAAGGGGGGATTTGACACGCTAGAGGGGGTTGGTCACGTTTCTGACTGGCATATACATTGATATATATTATATAAATATTTTTCGTTATCCAGGTTACTTGCAGATGTATATGAAAGTCATCTGTTGCTTATTTACTAATGTTATTGATTTTATTGGGGACTCTAATAAATACACATACATTACTTTTATTTTTTTATCAGCGAAATTTATAAAATTACAATCTGTAAATGTTTCTACTTTTACTTAATATTCCATTTTATATATATATATATCTCTGGTCGGTTGAGTATCGAGGTAAATGTTTTTGTCTTCCAATACTTTATAAAATCCGGTATGTTATGTTATATATTCTTGCGTCTGTATCTTTTTCGATCCATGCCCTGGATTATTTATAGAATAAATTATAAATACATAAATGATGTGAAACTGCGGATTTAATTAAGAAAACATATTTTTTTTTCGAAATTGACTATAACTCATTGTTTAGCAATACATTACTTCAGGTCAAAATCTAAAAATACACTGAAGCGAAGAAAGAAAATTAAAACCACAGGAATGCTCTATATTACTTCAGATAACCTCTGTGCTAGCTAGCATTTGTGCAATGAACGGACATGTGCGTGGTGTAGTTCCGGTAATATAGGCTACGGATTTCATTATTTGTTTTGATGTTCGCAATTGAAGAACGAACGAAAATTATTTCTACACACTAAATTTTCATATAGCCCAAAAAATAATGTCAATTTGCTCACTGTTTAATACTAAAAAGCAGTCAGTTTTAAGTAAAACTGTGCTTATTTATTAATTGTTATAAAAACGTTAGTCCCTCCATGTAAATGTAAACGCATAATCATCGTACAGATTTTTTTCTAGTTAATTTAACCTTTTTTCTATACATGTTACTGAACATGTATGTCATCATAATTTTGTACTTCATTTAACAATATCGTACTGCATGTGTTTACCTCAAATATTGCATTTGTATTTATATTATATGTTTCTCTGTTAACTTGTATTCAGTTTTGAGAATAAAGTATCTATCTATCTATCTACAAAGCTCCCTCCTCTCCATTTTTATACAGATGTGATAGCTTTTTATAGACCTGTTATTACGTATTTTTAATACGATAAAATTGAGAATGGAAATGGGGAATGTGTCAAAGAGACAACAACCCGACCATAGAGCAGAATTTTATTTTTGTATTATGACTCATGTATTTTGCATTTGTCTCAGATTTAAACACCTTATCGGAATCGTAAAGGCTTACAAAAAGCATATGAATTATGCTCTAGGCAAAACTATTTAGCGCATTGTGTACTTTTCTAATAAGGTAAGAGTGATTAAAACCTGAACCATCTGTGAAAAGTAAAATCACAAAAATACTGAACTCCAAGGAAAATTCAAAAAGGAAAGTCCCTAATCAAATGGACAAAAAAAAACTCAAACACATCAAACGAATGGATAACAACTGTCATATTCCTGACTTTGTACAGTCATTTTCTTCTGTAGAAAATGGTGGATTAAACCTGGTTTTAAAGCTAGCTAAACCTCTCACTTGTATGACAGTCGCATCAAATTCCATTATATTGACAACGATGTGTGAACAAAACAAACGGACATAATAGGTAAAAATGTCAAAATAGGGGTATAGCAGTCAACATTGTGTTATAATCTTAATCACTATAAAAACAAACAAATATGTAAAAAAGAATCACAAAATGGCATATAGACCAAGCATATTAGCAAAAAATAAAGACAAGAATACACAAATTTACCATAGTACAATAACACAATGACGGGATGTATCAGTACAGAGCCACGTCATATATGTATCAAAGAAACACCAAAAGGCATATAGACAAAGCACATTAGCAAACATGAAAACGAGAATTATAATAGAACAATAACACAATGACGGGATGTACAAGTACCGAGCCTCGTCAAATGGATATCAATAAAAACAGACAACAGTAAAAGTAATAAATAAAAGTAAAGTATAACACGTTATTAAGAAAATAATAAGATGATTAGTCTACGATGCCTCGTGCTCATAAGCATGACCAGAGAAATAACACTTGCGCACATATACCGAACTTTCCCGACACTATCTGTGCATTCCTACCCGTCTGTTAAAATCCGTTCGAGATCTATAAATGTGTCCTAAAATATGTTATTAAAGGTAAGCATAGTAACTAGTTAATCAATATTTATATTTTTTAACAAATGTAGCAACATTATGAATAAATTTAGACAAAAAATATCTTTATCATCGAACATTGCTTCCGGTCAGGCATTACTTATACAGAAATTCTACGTTGAGCCAACATTTGATTAAGGTTGTATCGTTGGTTTTAAGTAGACGTTGGCATACCAACGTTTCTTCAACATTTGGCCAGCGTTGGTTTAAGATAGCACCGTTGGTTAGACGAAGACGTTTGCATACTAACGTTGGTACACCATTGGGCAAACTTAGATAAAGGTTGTATCGTTGAATGACTGTACACATTGGCATATTGATATTTCCCTTACATTGGGTTACCCGTTGGTTGGATATAGACGTTCACATATTACTACTTTTAGGCCAACAATGGATAAAAAAGTTATTGCTGAATGAATGTAGGCGTTTGCATTCCAATGCTGTTCCAACAGTGCATTTGATTTGTTGACATAATTTTTGGAAAACATTGAATTTTGTTTTTATTTGTTTTATAGTTGGTGTCTGGGATTATGTTGTTTTAATTTTGGATCTACATACAGTGTTGGCTATGTGATAACAAACACTTTATTCTAATGTGTAAGCTAGTTGCTAGTTATATCATTTAGGAAGAAAATATGTTAAGTTTTATTGAATCATAATTTGATTTCGAAAAAAATGTTGACAAGTCTTGTTTTCCAATAAATAGTATTTGTAAGGAACTTGCAGATTCTTTGTTGATGTAGACATATTTACGTTGACAAAACGTTGGGTAAACTACAGCATATTTTTAACAGCTGCAACATTGGGTTGGTTTTTTCAGCATCGGTCCTACGTTAGGCCACCTTTGGGTGTTTACAGATGATTTGGTGGCATATTATGTACAAACCTTTTATATTGGTTGATAGTTAGCTATTGGTGTTATGTTGGTTATTAATGGAATTTCAAACAAAGTTGAAAATAAGTTGGTTCAAAAAGACGTATTCGTTAAGTTCTGATGATTAAAAATATTGTCCTTATGAGTACTTGTTTTATCGTTGACTGTATAATGTTGCTTTATAGTTGACTGTATAATGTTGCTTTATCGTTGGCCGTTGGTATCTAATATTGATTTTTCGAAAAATTGTAACAATAATGATAAATTTGGTATTTTTGAGTAAGTTAGGTGATACCTGTTTTCTTCTTTTAATTTTGTATTGATTGTTTTTTTGTTTTTTGTTTTTTTGTAGTTGGTTTAAATATGTTTATGTTTTTTTGTTATTTTTCATTTTAATTTTTGTTTATCTTGTTTATAATTTGAAGACCTACACACTTTTACACATTGTGTAAATCCACTTTGTTGAACCATTTCCCAACACAATATCAAGATAATGTTAAATGTATAAATAAAACCATGTCATTTTTCTGTATTGAAATAGAGATGTGGCCGAAAATGTCGACAACACATCTGGAAATAATTATATCCTAGTGTTTAGATTATTCACAGCCAGTAACAGGTCATTCACTATATTACTGGTCAAATACACATGTGAGGTCAACATTTTGTTCGCACAAAAGAAGAAATAATGAGTTACAAATGTATCTCAAGTTTTTAATTAGTATATTAATTCATTGTAATTTGAAGGAAACACGTAAATGTTACACTTGATATCATACACAAGTAATAATTTTGTGTGAAATTGCTTTTCTATATCAGTCGTGTAGTGCATTGTGAAGTCAAAAAGTCTTGATTATTATAACGATTGATAATCAAAAGTATAATTTTTGAAAGATGACCTATTGTTACTTATTTAAGACATACAGTGCTTAGAAATTATCTTATAACATCCTCATATTCACATTTTTTTCAACAAGTACCAGTAATTCAGTAAATACGATTTTTATCCATTTGACATCTATATTGGTAACTAGTATGTTTAGTTTTAAATACTAATTTCTTTGCAGCAATACTTCAACATTCGTAATATTATCATATCGATGTGTCAGAAGTACTTTTCTATCTTCGCTTAAAATCAGTTATATTCTGCTTTATATTAAAGTGTTATATTTCATATATCATATATATTAAATAAGCTAGTATTGTCTTATTTGTGATGCACATTGTATTAACAGAGAGGACGTTTAGGAACAGATTAAATAAAGATTTAAGAAATAAAACTATTGATGAAGTTGTTATTACTGAAACATTTTCAGTTTAACTTTGTCATCCAATACAATATTCTACTTTCCGTGCGTATAAAACGTATTTCTGGAATAAACTTTATCCAGTACACTTGATAGGAAAATTTTAGAAAACCAATGATTTAAATTATTGCAAAAATCAAACCTAGATGGACCTACAGAGAACAATTCAAATCGGATAAGGACATTTAATTAAAGATGTTACATTGCAAACCAAATACCTGATTGTAAATGAAATGCAGAGTTCAGATATGATTCAACATAATGTGCAATATTGGCCCAAAATTGTGCCTATGCTCTTTTCAACTATACCTAACGTCAGCCCAATGTTAATTTCAACAATAGTTTTTCGTTGGGTCAATGTTACCTTAAACAATATATTAAATTGGTTCAACGCTAATCTTAATTTAAGCAATATGTCACGTTAGGTCATAGTTACCTAAACAATTAGTCTTACCTCCTTTACATTTCTATAAATATGATTGGTTAAACCCAACCGCGTGAAGACCGTGTATATTTCAAATTAGGTTAGTAGACGGGGCTTATTTCAATACACGGTTAGTAGTGGTGTTACGTCTCGTTATTTTAAACAATATGTCACGTTGGCCCAACGTTTAGTCATAGTTATCCAAAACAATATATTACGTTGGTTCAACGGACAGTGGCATTTTGAACAATATTACAAATTTAGCCATACGCTGGGTCAACGCTATCGTAAAAAATATTTAAAGTTGGTCCAACGATAGACCAATAGTTTTTTAAACAATATTTAAAGTTGGCCCAACGTAATACCATAACGTTGGGACAGCGTTGGCCAACATTGCACATATAACGTTGAGTTATTGTTATCCGAGGTTAGAACAAGTTGGATGTGTTCGACCGACGATGGTCCATCGTTAGTTTACTATCTGGGTATAGCTTTTTCGAATTTCTTGCCAATTTTTTAGACATTTCGCAAGCTCAGTTGACATTTACGTAGGCGCAAAAATTAGCTTACATCAATTATACCGCTTTACCGCTAAATATTACTCAGGCAGACTAGACACCAATCTTTCCTGTGAAAAGTAAAGTAATGGTAGCTTGTGGATTCTGAACATTAATTTCTGGATATACATAACCAACAAGCTGATAACACCGGAAAGTTATTCATATATATATATATTGCCAACTACTCTAGTCAAGTATTTTTATTTTGATGACAATGTCACGTCAATATTTTGAGCCTGTGCTACTTGTTGCCTTAAGTTTTGTATTTAGGGATCCTAAAAGGAGATGCCAATTACACTCATTAATTCATCTTAATTTGAATTTTGTCATTAGTTAATCTTTGCAACATGTTTATAGTTTTTGTCTTCGTGTGTGTAAGAAGAAGGCGACTAAACAAGAATCGTCTTTTTCTAAATGTTGGTATCGATCATTATTCGACGGAAGCTATTCAGTGACACCCACATGCATTCGCATTTGAAATTTTAAGTAGGAAAATACTGGATCAGTCCTTTGTAATGGGTCGCAAATGATTGTTTTGTTCTTTCATAAATTCAGAAATCTCAATTTGATTATGATACTTATATTTTTAATAGACACTTTACGTTTGGATAAAAAAACAGTTATTTAAAACAAAAGTTCTTGATTTCTTCCAAATCATCTAAATGTTAAAACAAAAGAAAGATTACTGATAAGCGTCCAGTTTCACTGTCGATTGTTCAGTATTTATTTTTATCAATATGGGTGAAAAAACTACATTTTGTTTGTATTTAATTTTTTACATAAATGAAGGTTATCCAGAATAAAGTATGAAAAATCATCGCATATTTTATTCTTAAATTGCATCATTTTGTTTAACTCTACACACATAATCACTTAATGTATAATACTTACCAAATACAAGATTATTGAACAAATAATGTTTTTAAAACAATAACTGTGTTGGAAACTTTTCTGTTATTACTTTGTTTAAACAAAATGATATAAAGTACAATGTAAGGCAACTCTCTCCCTTTTTGTATCGCTGGCATATTTATTTTGTTGAGACATTATGTCTGTAACCAAATGTGTGGATTTCTTAAACTGTACTCTATCAAGAAAGTTCAACAATGTGTTGAGAGAGTTACACTTCTTGAATGATTCATATATTGGTAATAATTTTTGTGATTGCACTTATAATAGCCCAGGCAGGATTCAAATTTGATAATTAAAAGATTGCGATGACATAATATAACACAGATTATGTGACGAATCATAGCACAAAATAATACGAAAGATCCAGTGCAATTTCTATAAATATGACTGTAGTATTATGCAACATTTCTTATTTTTTGTCATTTAATTAATCATACACGCTTGTTTTCAATATGGGAAATGAGGCGTGATCATTTCTAATTTATAAACTTTTCTTTAACTAGTCTTCTTAAAAACATTAGAAACAGTTTAATCTATCCATAAGCATGGTACATGTATATTGTCAATTATTACAGGTGAAACAGAGAGGAAGAAAATAATAAAAAGGATACAAGAGGCTGTTTATAAAGAACAAAAACAAAGCCAATCAGTTCCTGATCAAGTAATTCCACGTGAAAGGGAGAACAACGAAAAAGAAGCAATTTTATCAAATGAACCGTTGTCGGAACTTGAAAGAAAACCAGAAAACAAACCCCTAACTAAAGATAAAATAAGAATAGCGTCACCAGGTTCAAATGCAGTGGACACATCATTGCCAGGTGAAAACAAAGTGACCATAGGAGACACTGTAACCTTCCTTGCAGGAAAGTCTGAAATTGATATACCTAACGAAAATTATGGTGTTCTGTCGAAAGATATCAAAAAAGCCGAAAATTTAGTAAAAGCTGACGATATGAGGAAAAAGATAACCGAACAAATGAATGCAATTCTTGTTAAAGTAAAAAAAGATCAAGACAGAATGACATCTGAGAGTTTGGTAGAATGTGGTTTGTGGGATTTCGCGGGCCAGAAAGACTATTATGCCACACATCAGACTTTTTTAAATCCACATGCTATCTATCTTCTTGTTACAAATATATCTGAAGACATAGCAGCTACAGAAGGTGACAACAACTTTGATTCAATTGAAGGTAAGATATTAAGATCTCCGTCAATAACAAGACAAAACAAATATAGTCTTTACAGACAACGGTTCTTTAGAATTTTATTCCTGGGATTTATGATGAGGTTCTTGACCATTTGAGGTAGATTCACTGTTATACCGCCATCTTGGATTGAACAATAGCAGTACATATTCGGTCTATTTTTTAGTATAAATCTGCAAATTTTGAAACAAATTTGCAGTTTAAGTGTAAGACTGTTTACTGTATATGTACTTTTTTTCGCGTGTAATTATTTTCGCGCAATCGGTATTGCCGATGAATCCGCGTGTATTTAATTTCGCGGATGTGCCGTAAATATCAAAACATAAATAACGGATTTTCTTTATTAAGTCAATAAAGTGAACAAGAGTTTCGATTTAACAAGGTAAATAGCCTTGAGGCATTAAAGTTAAAAGTGAGTAGAATTTATTTTATACCTTCGGTAATAGTTCATTCACAATATGTCAATCAAAATGTTAAAACGTTGGTTAACTCAGGCAAAGTTAAAAAACGTAAAAGAAGAAACTTTGAAAAGAGGATGGGTTAAAGGTGGGATTACCGATGTATGTGTGCATAAATAAACAATGACATTTGAAACCTTATTATCAGTCAATACATACTTGTTCAAAAAAGTTTTGTATTTGTAAATATGTTTATTAAATATTTAAATTTTCATTAATTAAGTCTTAATTTGTTAAACAAAATATAAACTTATGAAAAAAAGGTTAGTGTAATTGTTTACAAAATAAACAAAGATAACTACTATTCAATCAACAAAACAGTAGGAAAGAGATTATTCTCCGATTAAATTGTAGTTACACAATAAAACTGTCAGATCGGTTTGAGTCATTATTTGTTACCTTTTATCCTTAATTGATTTTCTGTATGGAAGACTGCCTGGTGTTGTTTTAACAGTTTCACAGTTCAAACGAGGTCATGTTAAGGGAAACCAGGTGAACGTTGTAAATTCCCGAGAAGATTAAAGGTTTTTAAGGTTTTACATTTAAGCTGCATTTGTATTCGCGTGTATTTATTTTCGCGGAAATATACCTACCGCGAAATTCGTGAAAATAAGTACACCGCGAAAAAAAGTACATATACCGTATTTATATAAAGAAAAATACACGATTTATTGCATTATCCAAAAGTTTTAAGAAATACCAAGTATTTGTGTGTTTAGAATACATTTTTCAACATACCCATTTAAGGGGAAATAACTCTTTTTGTAAAAGTTTCATACTGGAATGATATTGAAATTTTCTATTTTTGTCTTGTAGAAAAAAACAATTTCGGTGACACCTTTTTTCTTTTTATTTTCTAAAAGCATATTTAGAACCTATCTTCTCATATATTATTTCAAAATTCTATCTTATAGATTTCTTTTTATTCACAAAAATGTGGGGTTTTTTTTTTCATGAGCAATCTATGCAAAGTTGTAGCTTAAAAAATAGCACTATTACCTATAATTTTTATTATTTTTTCTAAAAAGCATAGTTACCTTTTCATTTTGGCAAATTATTAGAAAATTATATCTGAGGAAATATATTCCGATTATCCAACTTAAATATTGTAGCAAGTAGTGATTTATACAACCCTTTGTTTGTTCGCAATCATCTCAAACTTTAGTAGAACGAAAGAAGTCTATCATAATTCTACTAATTTCTGTAAACTAGATATTCAGTAATGATATAAATTCAGGAATCACAATTGTATGTTAGATAATCCGAATGCATGGTAACAGCATATTGTTAATATGTTTAAAGTAACTGTGACTGAATAGTAGTCAACACGATTCTGTTCCATCTTGTTCGTATACTGTTAATCTTTTATCATTAGCGTTGCATAAATCTTAATACTTTTATAAGTATATTTATCATTGGGTCAACCTGTTCACATACACATACAAGTAGGGGAAATGTATTATAAATAAACGATATCTGTTAAGGCATGTTGACAAAAAACTGTACCAGTAAAAAACAATTTTCATTAACACATTCAAACGATTGATTGTTTTCCTTGTAATTTAATGTTGGAATTAAAAAAAATAACTAAAATAACAATAATCATATTTTATATATAACTGTTATTATAAAATAAACAGTTGTGATAATTAGACGTAAATTCTGAAAACATTTAGTGCTAGGTTCCTCTGTATTCTTAAGTCATGGTTTTGTTTCATGTGTTATCCTTTGAAGAGTCGTTGTTGATTGATTGTTTGTTGCTTAACGTCCAGTTCAAATTATTTTATACATGTTCAGGACAAGAACCAATTAACAAATAAACTCAGTAGATAGTACATGTAATGCAGGCCGTCCGAGATGAAGGTCGTGGAAATGTGGACTGCTACTCGAACATGAGGGTATATTGGATTGTGACACGAGATTTGTTCTTTGCAACAGGCCATCACAAGGGTTCTTAACGTTCAAAAAGAGTGGCAATCTCTTTATACGAGGCAGCGTATTAAATACACGTTCCCAGTCTGACGGGTTGTGGCTGCACACTTGTACATCCTGCTAAGCTAACGAGACGCCCTAGTTTGGCGAGAGTTTCACTATTGGTCAGGACGTTTTTTTTTCTATTCTTTTATAGCATTATGAACTATAAATTATTAGCGCGTGTCACACTAACATTACGAAACTAGAATATAATAACACACGATTGTTAAATGCCAAGGGAATTAAAAACCTCACTGTGTAATCATAATTTATCATAATAAACACCTCACACATTATGCCTGTAATGAGTGATCCTCGACATGTATAATTGTCTTTCTAAAGATATTGCTCTACTTGTATTTTTTAAAATAGTAAGGTAAATATAAGAAGTATATTTCCTCACTGCAAAATACATACAAATAAATATATATATTTGATTAAAAGTTTGTAATAAACATTGAGAGGAAAATAAAAATACAATATACATCAAAGACTAATTATTTTTACGATTTAATATGATTTACAAGGAAAATCCAGCTGTTCTAAATCAAGGTTATGTAGAACTGCCCTACCCGAGAACAGATTCTTACACTTCTATCCTAGACCAGATGTTGACTGTTCTATCTAAGATCAGTTTTACTCTAAAACTAATTCTGAGATTTCTACCATAGAAAAGATATTCAAGAATTAACAGCATTTCGATCACAAATTATTCTGACCGTTTTGTAGAGAGTTTATAGTTTATTATAATTGTATACTCATTTTATCATGTTAATAGAGGAAAGACGCTAAAAAAAAAGTCACTTTTTTTTCTTTTCTTTTTAGAATACATTGACTTTTGGTTTGACAGTATTCACTGTCTACGTACGAGTTCTCCGAGACATGGTTTATACCCACCTGTCATTGTAGTGTGTACTCATATTGACGAGTATAAGACAGATAAAGAGGTACAGTATTCACTGTCTACGTACGAGTTCTCCGGGACATGGTTTATACCCATTTGTCATTGTAGTGTGTTCTCATATTGACCAGTATAAGACAGAAACAGAGGTACAGTATTCAATGTCTACGCACGAGTTCTCCGGGACATGGTTTATACCCACCGGTCATTGTAGTGTGTACTCATATTGACCAGTATAAGACAGAACAAGAGGTACAGTATTCACTGTCTACGTACAAGTTTTCCGGGACATGGTTTATACCCACCTGTCATTAATATGTGTACTCATATTGACCAGTATAAGACAGAACAACAGGTACAGTGTTCACTGTCTACGTACAAGTTCTCCGGGGCATGGTTTATATCCACCCGTCATTTTAGTGTGTACTCATATTGACGAATATAAGACAAATGAAGAGGTACAGTATTCACTGTCTACATACGAGTTCTCCGGGACATGGTTTATATTCACCTGTCATTGTAGTGTGCACTCATATTGACGAGGATACGACAGATAAAGAGTTACAGTATTCACTGTCTACATACGAGTTCTCCGGGACATGGTTTATATCCACCTGTCATTGTAGTGTTTACTCATATTGACGAGTATAAGACAGATAAAGAGGTACAGTATTCACTGTCTACGTACAAGTTCTCCGGGGCATGGTTTATATCATCCAGTCATTGTAGTGTGTACTCATATTGACGAGTATAAGACATATAAAGAGGTACAGTATTCACTGTCTACGTACAAGTTCTCCAGGACATGGTTTATACCCAGTTGTCAATGTAGTGTGCACTCATATTGACGAGTACAAAACAAATAAAGAGGTACAATATAACGATACATGCATTGTGTTGCTTTTTTCAAATATTTGTATATTTCTGAATATAAACATACAGAAGAAGGTATTATGTTGGTGCTAATTAGATAATGTAAATTGATCGAAAATGAAAATAATTGGATAATATAATTAATGTTACTTTATAACCTGTTAAATGTAGCATTATAGAAATGAAAATGCAGACGCAATTTGACTTAGATGTCATTGAAATGACACCATAACGGCTATTTACCAAATTTAAGCAAACATAAGCAAAATTGAAGAACAATTGTTAAACGGGAGCTACGATTGGAAATGTTCTTGCAACAGATAAAGGTTTAATATAAATTATGTTTATCATTATTGAATATAAACTATGTTTATCACCATTGAGTCGGCTTCTTAATCATCAACAAAGTCAATTGAATTATTTGTGTATTGAATTTAGTGTGAAATTGTACAAGTGCGATGACCAGCTACCGAATTATATGAATTTGACCCGTAAATATAAACTCGCCATTTCCGGGTCTTAGTAGTGTGTAGGTTTTTAAAAATTGATAAAGTATCAGTCTGCAGATAATAGCAGATTACCGTATTAACGCAACTCGTCCGTTATTGCATACACAGACAGATAATCCTAACTGGTAACATACGACAACTGATTCTTAGCATGTACAGAATAAGTGTCGTCCAAAACTATTTTTTTCAGATAGTAGATAAACACGAAGTATAATTTGTGTGTAAATATAATTTTGGGCATGGACGTGTGCTTTTTATATTTTAATAAGT